ATATATATATATATATTTATTTATTTATTTTTCTTTTTTTCTTGTAATATACAAGCCTAAATTTTATTTTAGTTCAATTTGTAAAACAAGATTGTAATTCAAGTAGGAATATGCATTTCAACGATTCGATTAATATCTAATTTCTGGGAACACAACTTCTACTACTATTCACTTTAGGTGACCACTTTGGATTTTTCATACACGCGCAGATTCCAAGTTTCTTAGTCCTTTACTTGGATTGAGCTGGAAACATAACTTATACTATTATTCATTTTAGGTGACAACCTGTTGTTAGATTTTACACACAGATTCCAAGTTTCTCAGTCCTCTACTTGGATTTAGAGAGAGAGATTCCAAGTTTCTTAGTCCTCTACTTGGATTTAGAGAGAGAGAAAGAGAGAGGGTCCAAGTTTCTCAGTCCTCTACTTGGATTTAGAAGTTTCTCAGTCCTCTATTTGGATTGAACTCTGACGAAAGAGTCCATTGGACGGGCTGAGTCTAACATTTCCTACTTCTGTAAGGGTAGCAGAGGAAGGCATACGACTTCCTCCCAAAGAACAAAATAGCGGGTACTGCTGCCATTTTTTGACCATCCATGCCACCCAAGCAACTCCTTCAACACCTGCTCCGTAATGAAACCAACACACTTCGAGAAACAAACAAACATCTCTCTCTGACCCAAAAATAAGAGTTATGGCTCCAAAAAACAAAATTGACATTTCTAGGAAGACAAATCACTGAATGAACCACTATCCATAACGTCAAGCCAACCCTATCAAGAAAATAGAACTACAGGCAAATTTGAAAACTAAGAAACAAAACCTGACTCTCTCTCTCTCTCCGTACTCCTCAAGATGAAGCCCCACTGCGAAGTTTCTTTGTCTTCTTGGGCACCACTTGAGTTTCCGCCTGCAACCACACACACAAAATTATGGTATGCAAATGCAATCATAATAAGAAATCATTAACATAACATGGCAGTGCACTGTGACTCGTCCGAGTCGACTTGACTCAGGCAAGTTACTCAGACACTCAACCAGTACAGTGCACACTTGTATTACCAAGTATGCCATTTTCATTCAAACAGCGCCCAAATGGCCTGTTGGCTAGTATGTACGCTTCGTTGGCCTCACGTTCAAGGTTCAAATCCCCTCAGACACCACCTATCATTTTTTTATTAAAAAAACTAGGCATCATTAAAGTAAGGTTCAACAGGGTTAATTAAAAGAAATACATCCCCTCAGACACCACCTATCATTTTTTTAATCAAAAAAACTAGGCATCATTAAAGTAAGGTTCAACAGGGTTAATTAAAAGAAATACAAGGTCATTAGAGTAAGGGGGTTCAAAAATAATATATATGGGCATGGTTCGATCCCTCAACTTTTTGTTGAGGATCCATGTCATTTAACTAGTGTACTCCATGTGGGTGTTGTCCCACCCCATGTGAATGATGTCACACCCTCCTAATGACAAAAAGTCTCCTTACAAAAAAATATTCCATGTACAAAACAAAAGTATATAAGTGTCCAAAATTTGTTGAGTACAATTATAAAATCCTCTATAATGCAAGCACCCTAACATTAACTTGGCTCGGCCAATGTACAAGTACTGAATTATTTCTCTTTTTTTTTTTTTCCTTAATATGGATTGGACTTGGTTACTTGGACTTGCCTGAGTAACTTGGCTCGAACAATGGACGAGTCACTTGGCCGACTCGAGTGCCCTTACCTTGTAACACGATGGAATTTCGAAAGCCTATCTATTGAGGTCATCACCTTGATCAAACGTGTTCAGGTCATAACATTGTCATGTGGGTCATCACAGGCCCCCTGATAATTAAATTGAACGGCGCTAAGGAAAGCGGACCGCACCAAAAATATCATTTAATTTAACTGAATGTCCCCTCTCCTTGCATGCTGCCCAATCCACGAATTGGATAGTGATGACCATTTTTTGTCAAGGTTTGGTGATAGCCAAACTCACCACTCCTATCTTTTTCCCTAAGGGGCATGTTTATTATTAAACACTGCTAAAATGTATAGTGAAGTTGTGTCGGGCTCACTACTAGTACCACTTTCCCATGAAACAAACATGGGAAAGCAGTGTGGTCAATAGAAAATCTCCCTTGGAGAGCGATTTCTGTTTTAACAAACGTGCCCAGAAATATTTATGTTTTCCAAGACTCCAATGTTCTAGAAAGATTATGGAAAAGTTTATGGTGCATTCCCCACTGAAAATCCATCTTAGAGATGGAAGTAGGATTTGAAAAGCATCCCAACTGATTCCTTATTCACTTCCGCTTTAGATCCATAACTATGCAGCTCAAAAATAGCTCAAATCCGAAGAACTGTTAGGAATAAGTATGAACAGCAAAAATAAAAATAAAAAATCAACAATAAAGTCAAATCATTTTTTGTTTTTTTCATATTCATGATTATGGAAGTCAAGATTATCAACCTATGAAATTTTAGATCCAAATCTCTATGCTTTACTTTTGGAAGGAGACTGGATTTAACTAGGAGTGTAGGCTCACACTGAAAACTTCATTCTCATAGTACTTGGGTAAAAGGCAAAGGCGATTTCTTGGGAGGCAATAAAAGAACCTTAATGACTTCTATACCAAGCGATCAAAGAGAGGTAACCTTTAAGTCACCTTTTAGGTAATGACAAAGGTGATCTTCAATAGAGAAATGGGTATTGAAAACAGAGTGTGGCATGCACTCCTAGAGTTGAAATTTTCTGACAGGTTGCAAGAGATATATTTCTTCTAAACTTAAACAATAATCTTCATTGATATAAAAGATATTACTTAGCGAAGCTGTGGACGAACCGAACCACATAAATCTTGTGTTTTCTATGATGTGCCCTTCTTTTTTGTCTTGATTTTCTATGGTTGTATTTGCACTATTTCGAAACTAGCCGATTATGCACACGATCTTAGTTAGGATTCTGGTATATATGGCTCCTATTTACACATGCAAGTGGATCCTCAAAACTGATCAATTATTTACTAGCTCAGACTCCTGACCAGATCTTAGAATTCAAATCAAAACATGAAACCAAATCCACATTAGTGCAAAAACTCAATGTACCAGCAACCATGACAGAAGAACAAAAGAACCCAAGGACAAGGTGTTAAACAGAGAAAAAGTCTATGTTTACAATGAAGGAGAACACATGATGAAGTTAGACTCGTACATAGGTTGAGATGAAAAACTACGAGGCAAAGAAGTTGGCCAAATTTTCACAATGAGTTCTTCAAGATGGAAAGACAAAAAAGATCTATCCAATGAAGGTCAAAGAAGCTAGCAATGTGATTTTGCATGAAGGTGGAGATGTAAGATTTGATAATAGCCAAGATCACAACTCCTAGGTTAGCCTAGAAAAGTTGAGGGCATCATGGGTTTCTTGGAAGAAAGATACCATAATGATTGATAATAAGGGGATTAAAGAAAGGTAACAACCAACCTTTTAGGTTAAATCTTTGGGTCACCCTATTGGGTCATGAGAAAGGAGATCCAAGTGAGACGTGGGTATGCAAGAGAGAGGGAGGCATGATCTCATAGAAAGAGGATATGTTCACCTAGGTTTTAGGGTTGTCTACTCTCTAGCTCTAGAAAGAAAATCTATCAATTGCTTTCAAGATTATCTTCCAGGACAGCTGTGCCAGTGAAAAAGGGGGAGATCGATTGGCAGAGCATTAGTCAATGGGGAGACTGGATTCTAGACATGAGGAATGGCAGGGTCTGTCAATAATTTGAGGGAGGAACTTCTCTTGTAATTCTAAACTATAATTTTCATTGAGATGTGCACTTTAACTTATGCAAGCATAGACCTATCCTCTTTAGGATGAACAATGTAACTCTCATATTTTTGTGGTGTGTCCTTTTTTTTTTTTTTCACTCGTATGGCTGTATTCGCCTCTTTTGCATCTAACCAACAATGTACATAATCTTTAGAGTGCATTGGTCTATGGGGATCTTGTTTCCACACGTAAGTGGGTCCTAAGAACATCACCCTTACAGCCATGCCTGCTATAATGATCATTTGAATGATAACACATTGGATTGGTTGGCAATAGAGAATGTTTGTCCTCATTTACATTCATCACAAACGAACGTTTTACGCATAGTGATGACCCAATGGGACTATGTTTGTTCATTCTATTATAGCACAGTTTCAGAATAATTAAGCTTGAAATAGAACAGATTCATTGAATGGGAGTTCTTACCTCTTTCTTAACAGAGGCGTCCTTTTCGGACAATATCAACTCAATATGGCAAGGAGACGACATGTAAGCTGCATTCATCAAAATAACTCATGTCCCTCAAATCCACATATTAACATGTCTCACTCAAAATTTGAAAGGAAACGGTATATAGAACCTAGAACGGTGGGCAGGAAACAACAACAAAACTTACGGTTGATCCTTCCATGGGCACGGTAAGTTCGGCGCCTCTGCTTCTGGGCTTGATTCACCTGGATGTGCGATATGCACAGTGTATCCACATCCAAGCCTTTCACCTGCAAATCAGAAACACATGAAATCAATGGAAGATGAATGAACCTCCTGTAGTCATTAGAAAAGTGCAGGCCATATGAGTGTGTGCGTGTGAGAGAGAGAGAGAGAACATTACAATCAGCAGAAGAGAGCATTGTTTGCTGCTTTCATTTCAAAAGTGCAGATCAAGGAGGCAAAACATCGAAGTCAATAGAACATGAATGTTTCTGTTATATTTGTAAACGATGTGTGTGTGTTCATGAGAGAGAGAGAGAGAGAGAACGAAGTCAATAGAACATGAATGTTTCTGTTATATTTCAAAAGTGTAGACTGTGTGTGTGTGTGTGTGTGAGAGAGAGAGAGAGAGAGAGAGAGAGAGAGAGAATTGGAGAAGGAAGGGTTGCAAAACTAGAGCGCATACATCTGCATTACTCTCAGCACCTTTGAGCAAGTTCAAAATGAACTTCGCAGACTTGACAGGCCAACGCCCTTGCCCATTTGGATGGCGGTTCTTTGCTTGAGCAGTGCGCCCAACACCGCTACAAAAACGCTGGAAAGGAATCGCCTGCTTGTGAGCAAGAACACCCTCCAAATACCTCTTAGCCTTGGCCAATGGCAGCTTCCTGATGGCATGGGCTGTCTCCCTTGTGTTCTAGAGAAATAAAACCACCCATGCTCAACAATAAATCCATAAAAAGCGAAAAAAAAAACTGAGCACAAAAAAAATCAACTGATCAAGAGATTCTCATGGTAAATTGAATTGCCAATATAGACTTAATATGGCAAAATTTGCTCAGAAATATTTTCTCGAAACCTTGATGATGTTAAAATGATTCGAATGATGAAAATTCTGTTAAAATGATAGTGTAGTATAGCGTCCATCATGGACTCATGGCACAGTGAAGTACATTATCACTTATGAAAAGTAGTCAAGGTAAAAATTTGTAGGGAAAGTATCAATATAAAGAGTAAGGAGTTTTACCCTTTCCAAAATCATTCAGGGGGTCAAAACGCCCCAATTAGCATAAGAGCTACAAAGTTCACTTTTTAGTTTTTCATTTCACTTGGGTACCTCCTCAGAAAATATATTCAAAAATACCCAAATTGCGCTTGTTCAAGGTTGGAAGCCTTGATCAGTAGGGAAATTTAAATAATTGACGCACCCAGACGTTGTTTGGTTGGGGCCTCTTAGGTGGGTCAAATTACTAAAAAGCCCCTAGTTGTTCAAGGTTCCCAACCCTGAACAGGGCAATTTGGATCTCTAATGATGAGTGGCTTGTTAGTGGTTTCTTGTAGCTAACGAGTCGTGGCTTGTTAGCCACAAACAATTATTGATATAGTTTTCCAAGTCCAAACAACAAGGTAGCCTCCAACTCCCCTTATCCACAATTTAACCACTGGATGAGAAAGATACTTCTCTCCAAACAAATTCAGCATCTAGGTGCATCAGACTCTTAAGACTGAAGATGGTATCATCTCTACAAAACCCCAATTTCTAACAATGAGTCTCAATTGCCCGCAGTACGTACGCTATAACCTCTTCCACAGTCTTCTTTAATACCCCGCTCAAGGAGTCATGATAGGAAGGGCCTTTATACCCCATGTCTATGAATGGCACTGCATCCAATATATGCTCGAAATAGACGGAGTTAAGGGCATTGAAAGGAATAGGATAATGATACAATTTGGTGGTGAAGTTCCCAAACCTATATGATTTTGCTGTCCGAATTCTCAGCCAAAATTGTAGTGCAAGTGGGAATGAGAGGAATTTGAGTGTTTGGCAATGCACCCACACTGACAAGCCAAATAGGTTGGAGCACAAAGGGCTAAATGATTTGGTTTTTGGTTTCCTAATGTGTATCTATTAATTGTAAAGTTCTAGTGTTCTTAGTTATATATATATATGTCTAAATCTTAGGGATGTTATGTTGTAGGACTGATAGCAAACAATATCTTTGGACCCAATTGACCTGGAGATGATCAATACATTGGAAGAATGGGTCATTGAGAAAGAGATGCCCACTCTTGAAGGTGTTCTTTCTTTTTTAGAGAAGTTCACTATAATTGCATTAATAATTAGTAAAGACTATAAGGTGATAAAAAAGTATGGTGACCCCACAGGGTCACTCTATACAAGCCCAAAAGGAACGAAAAAGTACAATGGGGAAAAAACTATTCAGAGGGTCTTCAGAGATGAGGTGGGCACACAAAAACTAGTTCCCCACAGGTGAGTTGGAGGCAGCCCCTTCCTTTGCCAAAGCATCATCCTCTGAATTGGCTTCTCTGCAAACGTGGGTCCAAGTGGTACTACAATTCCTAGTTCGATGCACTATTTCTTCGAAAATGTCATCAAAACACCACGGCTAAGATGAGCAATTTGATGCCCAGGAGATAATATTCTTGGCGTCTCCTTCAACTACTAGATTTGGACTCCAAAAAGGAGGTAAAATTGGATGGAGATGGAATCACCACATAAGTAAAATTTAAGTAAATAATTTTATATTTTAAGCTTTTATGCACTTTAAGCATGTAACTGTGCATCTTAATAGAAATGTTTTTATATAAGGTTGCAACCTTAAAATGTAGAATTTCTCCAAAGAAACAACCTTAAAATGTAGAATTAAAGTGTACCTCAAAAATCCATCGAAAAGGCTGTTTTGATTTTGGAAAACCCTTGAATTGATATACGAATATGAAAAAGAAATCATTTCGAATCCCAAAAATAGTGCATCTTGCGACACATTAGCTGGACTGTCCATTTTTAAGATTTCCATATATTATAGATCTAATTGATTTGAGCTATTTTTTAGTTAAAATTTTATAATTAGAGATGAAAAATAAATTATTAGCTCATCCTAAGAATTTTTTACACCATAATTGTATCTAATGATAAAATTGGAGGTGCCCCTTACTTTGATTGTCTAAGGTTGCCACGTTATTCAAAGCACACTCATCTTAATAATACGTAAACTTTCTCATAGGTGTAGAAAATGACGATGATGATTTAGAGGTCAATATTGAGGAAACCAACGATGAGAAAGGAGATGGAAATGAAGTTGATGAAGAAGACTGCTAATTATTTTTTATGCTTTTATTATATCACTTGAATTTTGTAATATTGTAATGGTAACAAGCTTTTAAGGCCCATGAGTTGCAGATTTTAAGGTTGTGGACTTGTGGTTTTGTACGTTTGTTTAGTCTCGACTTATGATTGTTATTCATTACTAACGATTTACTTGTTGCCTAATGAGTTATTTTTTCTCCTAAATTTTTTTGCATTTTTCTTATTTCTTAGATTTTTTACTATTTTTCCATAATTTCATTTATTTTCATATCTTTTCCTTATTTTACTATTTTATAAATTTTAAATTTATTAGACCGATCGGACAGTTGGACCGGTCCAGTTCGACTGGTCGAATCAAACAAGTGATGTCACTGGTTTGGTCTCAGGTCTGATCCCAAAAACATTGCAATTAAATCCAGCAATTCAAAATCAACAATATCGTGATTAAATATTATCTACTACTGAAAATAGCTTTACAAGACCAAAATACACAAAAAATGTGACAATCATGGATACGAAATAATGTTAGCTGAGGGCAGAAAAGCAAACCGAAAAAAAATCTAAAACCCTAAAAAAAACCTATAGAACTTTGAGATAACAAAATATTGGTAGGGAAAACCCAAACCGAAAAAAATATAGGGGTGATTGAGGAAAGGCAAGATAGTGTACCTTGATGCAAGCAATCTGAATGCTAACTCTGATTAGAGTACTTTTATATCCACCATAGCTCCCGCGAATACCCCAATTTTTCCTCCATGACAATAAGAGCTACAACATCCTAAGAAACACTCAATTTTTTTGTGCTCTTACTTGGGTAAGAAGATGATGGTTATTAGATGGAGAATAGAGCTATGAGAAGAAAATAAAGAACAGAGTGAAAAAAGGAGCCCTAAAAATGGCAAAATAGGGAAGAATTGTTGGGTGGGGCTTTGGTGTCTGCTCAGAGAGGAGAGATTCGAAAGAGGTGGAGGAGAGAAAGGAGGTCTTCAAATGGTGAGGAGAGAAAGACAGAGGTCGTAGAAAGAGAGATCAATGGGTAGCTTGCTACTATAAAGGCATGATTTCGGATAAGCATGCTTTGCTCATGCTTTTTTTTTTTTTGTGACATTAGGAATTGGGGCCTTGTGGGAAGAGTCATATCCCGGATATATACCCCATTTCCGTACCAAACACAATTTATAGTCTTGAACCTAATATATGCAAAAATGTGTTGCATACCCTAGGATAAGCGATCCATTAGGGTTTCACAGGATCAGTATCACAAATCCAATCGCATCTGATTGAACAAGTTTTTACATGTGCAGTAGTGATTCTTGTCTCTAATCATACCTGGACTCCAAGCAATCATAAACCTGCCAAAAATTTCAGTCTACAAATAGGTATCCATAAAATTAGGAAACTAAAGCCTCCTATCATGAAAAGGAAGTCACTTAATATAAAGAAACCTAATCAACTAAGGAGACAAACTCAAAAATTACAAAACTACTTCTAGAAGATAAAATAAAAAAATAACTAAAATCCTAGACCTAGTTAAACCTTAAATTAGCATTCGTTTCCTCACCAAACAAAATAACCTTATTTGAATGCCAAAACAATTGAATTAGGGAAAAAGGATAATGATAGTAGTCATAGATCTTCAAAAATTCTTGGAAGCGAAGCGCTTTGAATCACTCCAAACAGACCTCCTAGTAAAAAGTAAAGCCTTCCAAAAGCGGTCTGTGTCTAGTATCATTGAAGAAAAACCTCAAAACTTGAGACAACAAGTTTTACAGTCCCATGATTTGTGGTTGTTAAGAGGAATAACACGAGGGAAATACATGTGTTATGGAAAAAGGCATTAGGTGACCAGAGTCAGGGTCAAGTAGAAACTCCTAAGGAGCATAAAATGAATCTCGTGCACAACAAGCACAATGTCACAGGGAGGAAATCCTGGTCGCCCAAGACATTGGTTGCTATGAATCTCAACATTCACAAGCACTGGACAAACAACCACATGGCCGACACAAAACCATTGCTTGAGGTTGAGACACAAGCATATTTCGTCGTATAATTAACCATTATTCGTGATGTACTAAAAGTACAAAAAAACTGAGAGGTATACATTAAGGGAAGGAAGGGGGCTGGGGGGAAGGGAGGAAAGTGATGAAGATGACAACCTAAAGGTCAAAGAAATGTATAGTTTGGGTAAACCACGCTACTTGCAACTAAAACTCTCTAACAATGTAAGCGCATTGAGCACCCTGCTTGGCTACTTGATCTACTTCACTATTTGCCTCCCAAAATTATGTTGAAAAGATAGTTAACCTATTCTCAAAAAATAAAAAACGTTGAAAAGATATCTCATGTGTGCATGCGAAAAGCATGCTCTCCTCAAAATAATTCAGCCACAATACATGATAGTTGCTTTTCACCCCAAGCCCATGTAATCATACATATTTTGAGAGTCCCCTACCAATACCTGGATTTGGGAAGCAGGATGACTCTCTTAGGCCAGTAAAGAGGGCCAACTCTCTGCTGTCATGGAAGCACAGATGCCCAGTGGTCTAGAATTGGTCATCCTCTTGCCACCCATGCTATCTCCAATTATACCATTAAAACTACATGTAGCTGTCACTTCCAGAGGTGACTCCCATATGGCATTCCGTGTCACTATTGGACAAGTCCTATAGATCAGTCATAAATTGTGAGTCCCATGAATTTATCCAATCGTTGGGCCAATGATATGGCTCCTTCTCAAGTCTTCTCAGAGAACACTTCCTCATCCCCCCTATTTCCATTAGAAATAGCAAAATTGATTATTACATTCCTTCCAAATGCTCCAAAGTCCAAATAATAGTGATGGAGCATAATCTGCATAAAATACGCCCTATAGGAATGGCAATAGGAGTTCTCAAACCACTTAGCAACTGGTCAGCCAATGACCACATCACTCAAAAAAGAATTCAAGATCTGAGTAACCTTCCTTCAATTCTTTTTGAGACCAACATTACTCAATTTCCATAAGGCTATGTCTGTGTCATACCTGACTTCAATAAAACTTCCAATAATAGTGATCCACATAGGCATAAATCCCCTTGTAACTGACTACTGGTGCTCCCACTTAATTATCCAGTATTCTTTAAGTCTTATCCCTAAACTCCAAAATATTTGATTCTTCATAACAAGATTTTTGGACCTGGTTTCTCCACCTTTGATGAAATGAGTTATTGGTTCCAAATTGATTATATAATGTAAAGGTGAAGCTATTTGGGAATTCGAAAAGGTACGAAGCTTGTCTACATCTAGTTGCACCTTGCACAAGGTTATAAGTAGAAGCATGGAATCAACATTGATGGTTTTTGCCCCTATTGTGAAGATGACTAAAAACATTTTTTGGGAAATTACCACAAGGAGAAAGCATAAGACACGTTTTCTATTATTTTCTTTCTTGAAAGAATAAATAGTGTAAGAAAAGTTAGGCATCACTTTTTCTAGTTATAGGATAACTATATCACCATGTCCATCATGCCCAGACTTCATCTCTCATATCTATGAATCTTTTATTAACCATTTTACATATACTCCATCAACTCAAACAAACATGGCAAAAAGTAAACTCCAATTCATTATCAGGAAAGAATAGAACTTTTGTTTCAATAATTCAGGAAGCACTAGTCTTGGATAGTTTGTATTGGTCATTACAATGTTGAAGGAAGTCGTCGTTTGTATACCAAAAGCAGAAATAAACACCTGGTGAGTGTATTGTGGATTAAAAAATCCAATTCAAGACTAGGACTGCTCCACATATATAGACATTAACCAATTTCCAATCAAACCAAAACACATCATGAAAATTCTGAAAATCATAATGTACATTTTTCCAATCAAAACCAAAACGCATCATGAAATTCCTAGAAATCATAATTTATGTTCTAACTACTTCATTCATTTAATCAGACAAGCCATTGATCTTATGAGATGTTTACTAATGTGGGTGTCTGGTCCATGTGATACTTGTTAGCAGCGATTACATGCAAACCCCACCAGATTAATCCACTTATGTTGCAAAACTGTAACTGTATTTTATACACTTCAATTAATAAATGGTATATATAAACTATACGTGCTCTATAAGTGCAGTGAATTAATAAAGAACTGTTGCAATTTATATCAATGCAATAAAGAAAACCTCTCCTGATCAAAACCATTCCACTTCAATCTACTCAAGCATATTAGCAGAGAATAATAATAAAAATCAAGGATTTGAAGACTAAACTAAGCATAAATGTCCCTAAAATAACCAACAACCTTACCTTCGTCTAAGAAAAAATCTACATACCATCAGAGAGTAAACATTAATGTTACCATCCCTTTAACAAAAAATCTGCTTAATATCAAAGAAATTACAAGTTATTGCCATGATCAGAGTAATCCATTTACCATTTCCACATACCTTAAAGTGAACCCTTAGGTCGGACCCTCTGGCCTTGCAGGCTGCCATCACATAACACTATTTACATTAGAAAAACAAATGCCCATAGAAACACCGGGAAAGCACCAATTTCAGAAACCACACCAGGGATTCAAAAAAAAAGAAAAGGAAAAACTGAAGTTTGTAATCATGCGAGAACACATATACTGAAACACGAATTAGATCCCGGATCTAGAGAAAGTGAAAAATTACAGTTTTTCAGAAGGAAAGATATGTTCAAGAAGAGAACACAGAGTAGAAGGATTACATTTCGTAGGGTTGTCTGGCTCCCTAGAATACTTCACCTGGATTCCAAAACACGAATTGATATTAAAAGATTTCAAGAGAGAGAAAGAGAGAAACACGAATTGATATTAAAAGATTTCAAGAGAGAGAGATTAATTCATTTCAGGAGAGAGACAGGAAATAAAAGATTTCAGTAGAGAGAGAGAGAGGAGAGAGGCATGAACTAATAGATTTCAGAAGAGAGAGAGAGCGAGAGAACCATTGCTGAAGCTGAAAAAAAGGCCAAGGGCTAAAGTGCACGCATCAGTATGGCTGTCCTCCATATATAACCATATGAAACAAGAACATGTGAACAACATGTAGTAATACAAACAGTTAGTTGGACGGTGATCGAAGGAAGTGGGCCATTGGAAAAGTGACGTGGGCCGTAGGATAGGTCCTCTCTCTCTCCATCGCCATCGAATTCAACGATGACGGTGATGTGCCTCATGGCTCGATGAGATGTGGTCATGAGGATGAGGACGAGGACTTAATGACCTATGCTATGAAAATGTTTTCGTGAAACACATTTCATATGAAAGAACTTTCTTAGGTCAGGAGGTATGGCAGTTTTCGTGAAACAAATTTCATATGAAAGAACTTTCTTATGTCTGGAGGTACGGCAGTTTTTTCACACCAGTTAGTCCATTTTATGGTAAATTATTCTGCCTATTGATGTGACAGTTTTTCACACCAATTAGTCTATTTTATAGGAAATTATTCTGCCGATTGGTATGAAATACCTATGTGCCTCTTAAGATGGGCAAGTTCTTTTATATGAAAATTGTCTTATAAAATCTTTTTCACAGCAACCGAACATAGGAAATGGTTAAAATAAGCCCTACGATTTATGGAAAACAGTAAAAAGTCTCACCTCAAAATTCACCAATAATTGTAGTTCCAATGTCGGAAAACTTTCAAATCGACCAACCCGACCTTGATTGTTATAGCTATGAAAAGAAAAAAAAAAAAGATTTCAAGGGTTTAACATAGTGTATATTGTAACACATTATCTAGATTGTTCATCTTCAAATATTCACAGATTTGCAGGATTTTTACCATTTTTTGAACTATAAATTTCATAATCGATGGTGAAAATTGATTTTAGAACCATAATAGAGATTTTTCATTAATTTCATATGCCTAAAGTATTTTAGGAACGAGGTTCATAAAGCATAGCCTTATAAAAACTACATCGGCTAAAAATCATCACCATTCAAAAAGGATGACATTGTATAAGTGCCCTCCTTATACGAAATAAGCAGGACCTCTAAAATTTGCCTAGAGATGTAGTTCCATTTCAAAAACCTTATGATGGCTTGAAAATTTATTTTTATCTCTAGTTATGAAATTGAAAATTTAAAAATACTACAAATAGAGCGTATCTAAAAAACACTTGAAGATGTTGAAAATATGATGCAGAGCAAACAAATTAATTTTTATTATTATTAGGATTTTTGAGTTTATCTTTTAACTCGAGAGTTGGAAGTGTGCAATGATAGGTGGGCATGAGTTGTATATGAATTGATGTTGATCAGTTAGTTTAAGAACGTAATTAGGATAAGGTTAAATATGGTTAGTTCACGAGTATAAATAGGATAAGGTTAAATTTAAGGGGTTTATCTTTTGGCAATGCGGCTATCTATTGAAGAGGGTTGGCTATGGGTAAACGTAGCTATCTATTGAAGGAGAAGGCGGCTATCTATTGAAGAGGGTCGGCTATCGGTAAAACGTAGCCATTTATTGAAGGAGAAAGCTTTGGCTAAAACATGGTTAGGTTAAGCAAGAGAAAAATAACGGGAGAGATAAAATATGAAAGTCCATTGTTTATCTTCTATCTTAAATTATTAGTCTATTTAAAGTGATATCTCTCTTAAATTTTTAGTCTATTTAAAGTGATATCTCTCTTAAATTTTTAGTCTATTTAAAGTGATATCTCCCTTCATTGTAATGGGTGAATGAGTTAATAAATTTCTTCTCATGAAGAGATTATTTTGGGGTGGATTCCCCCCGAGACTTTGAGAGATGAAATATTCTCTCAAACCTTTTCTTTTTTTTAATTATTCTCTCAAACTTTTTCTTTTTTTTAATTGGAGTGGATTCTCTCTCAGACCTTGAGAGGTAACATATTCTCTTCAACCTTTTCTTTTTTTTTATTGTTATTATTTTGGTTTATTTCTCTCTGCATTAATTTGCATCAAAATATATGGTCTATATCACATTGTTACAAGTCGCTCTCGAAGTCAAGATGATCGATTGGAAGGTTCTCCAACGTCGAAACATCATTTTCTAAATAAACATCTCAAGATCAAGATGATCAATTGGAAAGTTCTCCAACGTCAGAACACTCCCTTCTAGAGGATATTTGAGGTGTACCTTACTTCAATAAAACATACGCTATCAATCTTCGAAGGTAATTTTTATAAGGGCTTAGAATGAGGCAGTGAGGGGAAACCTACAGGTTGAGACACTTACCTCCATTTGTTTCATTGTAAGGGTGCACAAAGAAAACCTCATGCTTGCTACAAATATTGTGGATATGAAACCAATAATATCTCAACTTTAAAAGGGATTCTTTGCTCATTCTTGCATCACGTGATTGTATTCAAAGAAGGAAAACGGTTTGATAGGGCTGCAGTACACTTAAAACAAGTAAAGCGCCACATTGAAAATTACAAAATCTTGATCACATTAGCTTAAGCGCCACCTTGTAACTCATTGAAAATTACAAAATCTTGATCACATTAGCTTAAGCGCCACCTTGTAACTCATTGAAAATTACAAACCTTGATCACATTAGTGAAAGAACAAAAAAAAAAATTTAAAGCCCTAAAAATAGTGTACATTGCAACAAAATATCTAGGCTATCCATTTTGCCCTAAAAATAGATATTCATAGATCCACTTTGCCCTAAAAATAGGTATTCATAGATCAACATAATTTGTACCATGTTTTTTAGTTTCAATATTTATTATTGGTATTGGAAATTGATTTAGAGCCAAAGATTTATGTTGCCTGAAAGTCCTTTCCAGACAAGGATTTGAAGTGAAGTGTGGCTTTATTTTGCTTTGATAGAGCCTAGGCCTTATAAAAACTTCATCCTTCAAAGAATCACCTTAAACAAGGAAATTCTTACTAATATACTTATAGTTTACTATAATCGAAAAAAAAAACCCTAAATTTTCAAACCTACACTCTTTCTCACAATTTTTGTCTTTTTTTGGACCAAAATAACCTTCATAGTAATTTTTTTACCGTAAAGAACATTACGGTAATTAAAATACCGTAATAAGTTGAAGGAGTATTATGGTAATTAAAATACCATAATACCTTAAAGCAGTATTACAGTAATTTAATTACCGTAATAACATCACAGTAATTTAAATACCGTAATAAGTTGAAGGTGTATTACAGTAATTAAAATACCGTAATACCTTAAAGTAGTATTACGGTAATTTAATTTCTGTAATATTGCCCACGCCTCATTAAAAGAACACAAAAGACTTTCTACTCTCTCGGGAGTCTATTTTCTATTTACTTCCTCGACAAAAATCCATGCTAGCTGTATTTTTCAAATCTCAAATTTTTGGGATATAATCTCTACTACTTATAGAATAATTTCATCAAAAGAAATTTTCCAAGTAAATTCTTCTGTATATTGGAAAAACCTAACACTTCAAGATTGAATAGAAACTATCCAATTTCCAAAGAGCTAGATTTAAGTGTCATTGAAGCCACAATTCAATTCTTTCAAAAATAATTTAGTAATTTTTATATGGTTCTCAAAATTTTAAAACAAAAACATTCTTAAATAGGTGTTTTTGAGCGAGAGAGTAGATCTACATGGTGCTCCTATAAGAACATGGATTTTTTTAAAAAATACAGCTTCGAAGATGACTACCGTGAAGAGAGGATAGGGGTAGCCCTAATATTAGCTTCGGTTGGAAGCTTTTCAACCAATAGGGGTTTAGAAATGACCAAGAAAGTATTACGGTAATAAGAATACCATAAAGATTTATCCACATGTTACAGTAATTAAATTACCGTAATAATAATTCAAACTATTATCGTATTTAAATTGATGTAAAGTTTAAAATGTATTACGGTAAAAAGACTAGCATGACTGTCATTTTGGTCCAAAAAAAGCCGAAATTTGTGAGAAATGGTGTAGACGAGGTTTTGAAAAAGTTGGGGTTTTTTTTTTTTTTTCTGATTTTACTAAAATAAAGGCATATTAACGATAATTTTCCCTTAAACAATTATTGTTGACTATGCATCTCAGCTTCAATGATCCTTAATCATTGTAGTACTGATTTGATTGCAATCTTATCTACTATTCATGACACACAAGGACTTACCTCTAATTTAATCGAAGGCCTTAAATTACCAAAAAAAACTGCCATAAAAAATTGAGTTTGATGAGATCATCCTGAGAAGGACTCCAAACAACACAAATCCTTCTCTTCACAACTTCTTCAATGCTACAAATGAAATCAGAACTCAAAAACCGATGCATTCATTTCTTTCTGGCATTCAATTGATCATAGTCTCCATAATTTTTCTCTTCAAACAATCTATATCCCTAACAATCCCGTCTCTTTCCAAATTTCCCTTTAGAGTAACTTATATGAAAGCCTTCCATGTCAATTTCCCAACTATAGTAGTAAAGAAATATTGATTTGATCAACAATTTCAGTAGCATGTCATGCTATCGTACTCCCAAATTAAGACAAGCCAACATCCAGATTTCATAAATAAAAGGACACCTCAAAAAAAACGGTGTTCCTCATTCTCCTTATCCTATTTACAAAGGGACATGGTTTCTATGCAGCCAGTCTACATAATGTAGAATGCAAGCTTGGCAATAAATATATTTTTTAAATATAATTTGATCCTAATTTATTGAGAATATATAATCTTTAACATGGAGATCATGAATATGAAAGTAAAATAAAATAATTGAAAACGAGAAATAATAATTATATTAAAAAAACATTTAGACTGTTAGTTACAATTGTTTTTAGACGGACCACCTATTTGCATCCATCTTTAAGATGGATGCTTTATACCCTGAACCACATGTTGTAGAAATGTGGTCCAAGCCGCATAAAACAATTTTTCTTTACAAAGTATACACAATATTTCTTGTGACATTTTCCCTCCTTCTAAGATATTCAGCAATAAGGTTTTACAAGATTGGAAGCCACATAAATGGGTAATTTCCAAATTTTAGTAATTTTCACTAATTTGCATTTATGTCTATCATAAAACAACTTCATACACATTGGTTTTGCCGAAAACACACTATTTAATTGAGCTTCCGAAATCGTTTCATATATTTTTTTACATTTTTTGCATCTGTTTGACAAATTGGGAAATCACTGTATATGGGACTCTATTATATCTACCTTTTTGTATTGAGTCCACTTCTTGATGTTGCTACATCGCCTATCTTCAAATATCGATTTTCTTTTCTTAAAAAATAGCTTAGGATACTAGAGTTTTAGATAATACCCACAAAAAATAACTATTTCGGTCTTATGTATATATAGGAAAATGGTCGAGTTTAGAATGAAACTGGTTGTTCCACACCGTAAAACAACGATTCTCTACAGTAAAACGGCATATCAGACCACCGATTCACCAATCCGGACTGGTTTTTGGCAGGTTCATTGGATTTTCATGTATTTTTTCGCCGGTTCACTATTTTTTTCGCACAATAAAACGACGACCGCAGATTCACCGATCCGGACCAGTTTTTGGCTCAGAGAGAGAGAGAGTTCAAAAAGAGTAATTGATGAAAGTTTATGGGTTAGAATTTGTTCATTGTGTGCCCTTTGAGATCTCTGATTTTTTGCTGCTTCTCTAAATGGATTTTTAGACCATGCAATCAAAGAATTCTTGTTGGAACTTTTTTTTTTTCTTGGTCAACCCCATTAGATAAAACCATAAAATTCTCTGAACTGAGCCCTGCAAGTTATAACAGTTGCACTATTGTTTGTTGGTTATGTGTCTTCAAAAATAGTGTTCTTCTTGTTCTTGTAGGGTTGGAATCTTCGAGTGCCAACACCAGTGACCTCTCACCCCAAAATCATAAATCATCACCCTGAAAGCATAGTTCTTCACGAATGAATTCATTGCTTTGTGTTCGAATACAAATAAGAACCTTAGGATATTTCCAAAAAGGAAAAAATTTATGGGTTTCACCTCAAATATTAGGCGCACCTCAAAAATTTCATTAAGAAGAGGTTATTTTGATGCTCAAATATCCTCAAATTGATCGTCTCGACCTCAAGATGCATGGACATGAGAAAAAAATAGATTTCAAGGTTTGAAAATAGTGCATCTTGTAATGCATTTTGGACCGTTAATTTTCAAGATGTTCAAGTTTTTATAGATCTACTCGAGCTATACTATTTTTCAAGCTTTAAATTTTATAATTAGTAGTGACAATATATTTTAAGGCTATTACAAAAATTTCTAGTATCGAAACCACATTTCTCGATACTATTTGAAGGTGTGCTTTACTTTGATGGTTTAGAGCCTTAGCTCTATACAAACCGCACCCTTTTCTAACAGTGCCTTAAGATGATCTAATGATGTGATGAATGCATCTAAAAGAAAAACAACCAAAACCCTAGGAATTGGGCTTGGGCTTGAGCTTGAGCTTGAGTGGTTAGCAGTTCACGTAGTAACGCTAAATCTCAAGTTCAATTTCCAGTGTTGAATTTCAACAAAAATAAACAACCGAGGCCGACATCGAGAACATGAAAAACAAGAGTGTCGCCTATTAGCAGCCCTTCGTGCAATACTTGAACATCAAGATCAAGTTTTGTAAGGACAAAAAGCAATTCAAAGAGTTTATGTAAGACATCAACCTTATACCTCAAGGCAAATATCAAAAACACATAAGAAAAGGTGGTTTCAATGCTAGAAAACTCGCGATGCAATCATTTCGACCTTTAGATATATATGGTGATGAATAAAGCCTAAAATAAATGCATCTTGTAGTGTATTATTTAGAGCATCCATTTTCAAGATTTTCAAGCATTAATAGATCTGCTCGATTCATAATTTTATAAAATTTTAAATTTCATAACTAAGATAAAAATAAAATTTCATAGCTTCGTAAAAATTTCCAATACTAAAACTGCATCTTTCAATAAAATTTGAAAGTATACGTTACCTTGATTGTTTAAGATTGACACCTTAGGCAAACCGCACCCAGAGTTTTTCATCCTTGATAAGTTACAATATACCAATAATCTAGGACACATATAAATCGTAAAGCGGGTTTGGTTGGAACAGGGAGAAAAATGGGAAGGAGTAAACGTTATATATTTTAACACTATGTGCTCCATTTGTTTATAGCTGCAGGCTACATTTATGCACTTAAATGGCTTGACTGGGTGTTTCAAAACCCAGATCCGTGGGGTGGATCGTTCCCATGGATCCATGTCAGATCGCTGATCTAGATCGATTTGAATTGATGATTCAAAAAATATTTAAAAAAATAAAAATAAATAAAATTTAAATTTCTGAAGGACCTAAAAATACATTGCAACATTACATAAGTCTTAAAAAAGGAAAAACAAAAATAAAAATAAAAAATGAAGGAGGGAGTTTCCTCAAGGGCAGGTGGGGGAGTGGACCAGGCCCTAATACCCTCTTCTTCCTTCTTTTTGTTTTTTTCTTTGAATGTTAATGTCACTGATTCCTTCCAAAACCAATTTGGTTCCAATAGATTAGTTTCTAGTCCAGATCGGTGATTCCCAACCAATCTGGATCGCCCATTTTGAAAGAATGGCTTGACCAATTTGCACCCTTATGGGTTGGTATGTGGTGCCATTGAGCCATAGTTGTTGAATGCTTAGTGCTTGTGCTTGAGAGAAATTCCAAAGCCTTATTCTCTACCCCCAAGGCCACCAAGTTCAAGTTCATGGGGACATTGAGCATGTGTGTGAGTTAAGCAGAGAGAGAGAGAGAGAGAGAGATATGAACACGTTACTTCAAACTTATACTGAGTGAGAGAGAATGTAGAATGTAGGGGTTGCTTTTAATTGGTACAAACCTTGGAAATAACTGAGTTTCAAAGCCCCAATCAAAAGCCGATATGTTCATCAATCAAAGCAATCTCTCTCTCTCTCTCTATTCATTAATCAATCAATCTCTCTCTATTCATCAATCAAAACAATCTCTCTCGGTGAAGAAAGTTATCTTGAGTGTAGATATTTGGATTTGGTTTAGAAATTTCGAAAAGCACAACAAATTGAGTGAAGAAAGTTAAAATTAAAGGACGTTTAACCCCCTTTTTTACTTTTTTATTGCCTAAATTGCATTCACCTTCTGCTTCAGTTAATAACCTCATCATATAAATAGAGCTTGCAATGCTTTTTTTAACGTACTTGTGAGGTTCACAACATGAGAGAGAGAGAAGGTTGCTAAAGAGAGGGAGTAAGATGAGAGAGAATAAGTGCTTTTTCAAGGTTTAGATAAATTCTGTACTTTGGGTACTGGAAAAAGGTATTATTTAACTTGGGGGGTCTATGGTTTTTTTATTGGGGTCATTTGGGATTATAATTTTAGAGAACGGGGTATGTCATTTTCCCAATAAAGATTTCCACAATACCTTAAACTTCCAACAAACACATGCAATGTATCATATGGAGATTAGAAGCAAGATGTAAAATTCAACTAATCGGTATATCATAATGTACATAAACCTGCTTTCCCATGTATAAACCAGCATTGGTATCTCATAAAACTGCATACCAGAATACTGACATACAAGCATATACCCAATCACAAAACCAGCTCGGCATCAGATTGGCACAAGAGCACATAATCACACCACCGGCTTGCTCGCACCTACTCGTTCAGAAAACCGGCAACATGGAGATTTTGCATACTGAGAATAACATCTACATCTTGTGTCCATATATGAAACCATCACATGTCAAATGTACACAGGCACATTGTGTTGAAGTTTGTTGCCAGACTAACACAAATTAGTTTCATCAAGAAATCAATATTTTAATCATGGACTTCATTTATGGCCCATTTTAGGGCATCTTCCCAAACAAAATCTCAATGCTCGAATTCCTTGTTTATGTTCCAACCCAAAGCATCTACCTTCAAATTTCTCAACACTATCAGTAAAGACAAAAGGCTATATTATTAGATAACATCATATTTGATCTCATTGTAACAAAAACAAAAAGAAAGGGTTGTGAACATATATGTTTTGCGACTAAGTTCTTCACAGAATGCATAATACAGGAAAGCCTTACCAGATCACGACATAAAATTGTCAGCTAATCATGCTAGTCTTTGGCCAAGTTGCCGTGGGGGTTATTCATGCTCCCAACAAAGTTGCACCTGGACCGGTATATGGAAACGGAATAAAGGAAACTCAATAATATGCATCAAACCAAGCATACTAGTAAATAAATACTACTGTATTGAAAATACTCAAGAAATATCCATATCACACCTACAACGGATTGGAACAAAGAATTGGACTAAGCAAGCCACTAATTTCATGGAACTATGTGCAAGGATGTACAAGAAAAAACCCAGATATCTATGGGTTTGTTCCTAGGGGTGGCAACGTGCCAGACCTGGGCGGCCCTAGTCCTAATAGGGCTGGCCCGGCCCTAACCAGGCTAAAAAGGCCCTGACCCAAGCCCTATAAGGGCCAGGCCAGACTGGGCCAGGCCAAGTTAAATTGAAAGAAAAACAGAAGAGAAAAAAGAAAGAAAAAGAGGGCCGGGCCAGCCTTGGCGCAGGCCTAGGCCCGGTTCTACCCTCAGGCTGTTGGTGCCAGGCCATTGGGCCACATTTCGTGGCCCGGGTTTCAGTCGGGCCTGGCAGTCCATTGCTACCCCTATCGTTCTCAACAAGTCCAACATTTTAGCCCTCTCTAACCTGACAGTGAATAGCCAGATCTGAAGATGCATAATCAATGAAACATCAAGACCACAGGTTTTTTACTTTCGATTAACCTCAAAACATCAAATTAATACGCATATGAACAACGCCAACAAACTCATTCTCGCATCAATCACTGATCCGCAACACAAAGAAATCAACATTTCCTTATTCTGTGAAATCTCACATTAACATAAAACATATGCATAAGAATGGTAATTGGTAATTAAGAATGGCTATAATATTATGGAACTTAGCATAGAACAAAGCATGAAACACTACTTCAATTATTTAGATATACAAACTCACAAGTACGAAAGATGGTTCACTGTGCCTTGTACTCCATAGAACGGGACAACTCCGCCTGTCATGACCTGTGTCTCCATATGCATAGCACTTTCACTTGTCATCTCCTCAGTCCTAGGGGTGGATCTAGCACCAGGAGGTCGTCCTCTTGGCCTTGCAATTTTTGGAACTTGCGTGTTGGATTCCACCGGAAGGGTAGGATCCACAGAAGAGATGGGTGCTCCTACAGAACTCACAGGAAGTATAGGAGCCACAGGAGGGGTGGGTGCTCCTACAGAACTCACAGGAAGGATAGAAGCCACAGGAGTGGGTGTTCCTACAGCATTCTTGGAAGCACTGCCATGGGTAGAACTGACATGTTTTGTGGTAGTCTTCTCCATGTCTGCTTTAGCAATAACCTTGTCGCATGCCTCTTGAAGAACTGTCTTTGCATATTCATATGCACCCGAACTCAATGCCCCATACACCGATAACATGTTAGCCCGCCGACATAAATCATCATAGCGCGCTATATGGGTCTCCTCACAATTAGCCTGTATCTGAACCCTATAACCATCAAGAGTGATCCCTTTTGTCACATCCTTCGTCCATCGCTTCATTATATAATGTTGGGGTAACTCTAAGATATTTTTAATTAAAAATACTCTAAGCATATGAGCACAAGGGATACCCATGCGCTCATACAGATGGCAGCTACATGTTGCTTTCTTCTCAGAGCTGTGGAATGCAACCATGTATGTCGGGCCACTGAAGCCATATCTTTCCACCTTCATGGTACATATCACCCCATCTTCCTCTTGCACTTCACAAATGAGATCATTTGAGCCCATTAATTCCATCTGAAAGTAATCCTTAAAGATTTGCAGGGTGTAAATATGCCCCATCTGCCTCTCGACCCGAGTAGCAGTCTTCATAATTGGTGCTACATCACGAGAATCGAAATCTATTGTGTTCTCAATGTCATGCTTTTGGTCAATAAATTTCTGCAACTGGGAAACAAAAGTAGTCAAGTTGGTATGGGAATTCAGATATGTCTTGATATCCTTGCTCATGGATTCACTTCTCTCACTAGCCCAAATGCCTGCAAAGAAGGTCTCTTGCAGATACACATACACCCATTTATGCCGGATTTCATACAAGGACCTGAGCCAGGCATGATTCCTTAGGTCATATCCCTCAATCATTCTTGCCCATCTCTCTTCGAATTCCAAAACTGTGGTACTCTGGTCAATGCACTTGAAGAAGTCTTCATGGAATGATGGATATCTGCGCTCAACCTGCCACATTTTCTGCTCAAACTTGTCTGTAATATGCCACCTGCAATAGCGATGCCGGGCTTCTGGAAATACCTGCTCGATTGCAAGAGTCATCGCCTTGTCTTGATTTGTAATGATCGACTTGGGTTGTTGTCCATTCATTGCCTCAAGCCACTTTGTAAACATCCATGTAAAAGACTCCTCCTTCTCTTCATGAAATAACATGCACCCTAAAAAAACAGTATTCATGTGGTGATTTACTCCCAAAATTGGTACACATGACATCCCATAGGCATTGGTTTTGTAAGCACTGTCGACTATAACGACATCCCCAAAGAACTCCCACGAGATTCTAGATCTCGCATCAATCCACAATACATTTGCTAGGCAACCATCTTCATCAACCTGCATCTTGTATACAAATGATGGGTTCTTAACAATCATGCTACAGAAGAAGTCCACCAAGCCTGCTGCATCACCTCCACTCAACTGTGAGTTTCTTCGATTTCTATAGATTTCGTTATGGCCATCTCGTGTTATGAACTCCAGATTCCTTCGCCCTCCAGCCTGTGTACTCAATATGTCCACCATCTTTGAGGCACTTATCCCACAGGAATCATATGCATCAGTCACCTCTTTTGTGGACTTCAGATTTTTGCGATGTGATCGAAGGAGATGGACTTCAGTAGGTGCAGTCAAGGCGTGGCAATGCGCTTTCTCATGCTTTGCAATGAACCATTTACCATATTCATCTTTTTTAATCCTTAGCATAGCTTTGCACCCCAGCCTCGTAGCAGGACGAGACCGCTTCCCTTCACCTTTCTTGAATCTATGACCTTCTTTTGAACATACAAATTCACGAGTAATAACCGAACCATCCTTCCTTGATCGACGAGTCGAATATACACGAACACTGAAACCCATTCGTTGTGCATAGTCATTATAGAATTCATATGCAGCTTTATGGGATTCAAACTGCATACCCTCTTCTGGGACCTCATCGGTAGGTCTAGGATCCTCCATGCTAGGATTGCTCGTAGTCTGATCTACGTCATGCTCCCTGCTACCAGAATACTCCATTAGAGAATTACACTCGTATTCATTGTAACCCTCACAATCATCCATTCCACTATCCTGAATAGGAGGATTTCCCGTCTTGTTAGTTGTCTCTCGCTCATTGTCACCCATGTTTCTACCCATCTCCATGTCAATTGTACACCCCATGTCCAAGTTCAAGTCCATCCCAATTCCTGAACCCATAAACAAAAAATTAATTTAATGACTTGGTCTGAAACATATAATTCATCATCATCATCATCATTAGAGCTTTCTCCCCAACTATTTGGGGTCAGCTACATGAACCCTGGTTCACTCTATCGAGGGTCATACCCTCACTGAGGCGTTTGACACATAACAAAAATATATGAATATGAATCTATGTCATGCAATAAATGAAAGAATAAGTGATTAGATACTCTATGTGACATGTTTCTCATCAGATACCCTAATTCAAACGAGTCCATCATATAAGTCCCAACCCTAACACTAGTCCAAACAATGCAGAAAAAAATCCATTATTGACATTCGGTGGACCCTATTTCAGACCTAATCTCCAATTTACACACAGTTAAAAGCAATCCATGCTTCTTAATGCAATCTCCAGTGAACCAGGCATTGTTCACGACTTACAAGTCCTTTCTTGTGAAAGAAATCCCCCCAACTGAAGCCACATAACTCGGATAATCTAAATCCCAATTCGCCATTAAAACTCAACATATTATAAAAAAAAAAAGCTAGAAAATATTGTTATAACAAAAATAAAATCACGTGTTCATTTTTGCATACCTTAAAGAGCACCCTTATATCAGACGACACTAAAGCTTTGCAATCTGCAATTGCATAATAATTATCAACTTAGAAAAAAATTAAATATAGAAAATCCAGAAAAAAACCCTAATTTCAGAACCAGCACCATAGATTACCAAAAAAGGAAAAAAAAATGAATCACAAAGTTTTTCCTTGACGAGTGCTCGAATCATAAAGTTGGTTCTTGGATCTAAAGAATGTGAAAAGTCACAATTTTTCAGAACGAAAAATAAGCTAAAAAATAGAGAACGGAGTAACCGAGATTACATGTCGTAGGGTTTTCTAGCTCCCTGTAATTCTTCACCTGGATTGCAAAAACACAGAGGGAGATTACTTACTTTCAGGAGAGAGAAAAAGAGACACGTTAAGAGAGAGAAAGAACGAGAGAGAGTGGTTACCATGGCTGAATTTGGAGAGCTTTCGGGTCCAAGGGCAAGGGCTAGATGGTACCTATTAGTCTGGTTAATATATTTATAAGAAGCAAAACATATTGGAATTTGTACTGATACAATGTATGTTGTCGTGAAGGATATTGCCCGTCCAATCAACAAGTTGAACGGTGATGAAGAGTAGACGGGACCATTCGAAACAGGGGATAATTTTCGATCGCCGTCGAAAATTTGTGATGAACGATGATGAATGTCATGACCAGGTACTCATCATGAGTATGACAACTAAATTACCAAGGTTAGTCTTCTTGGGGTAGTTTTTTTGGGTATATTATGCTCTCTAAGAGGCACGGTGTAGTGTGCTCCCATGTACGATCAGAGGCATGCACCTTAGAGATCATTGACCACACTATTTACATGCTATTTATGAAAGGATGAGGTTTATATAAGGTGCCTACCTTCATGCTATTTATGAAAGGATGCGGTTTATATAAGGTGCCTACCTTTTTGGGGTAAGAAAAATAAATAAATAAAATGCCAGTGGGGATTTGGGCTTCCATCCTTAATGAAGTCAAAGATTTTACCATGGAGGCTCGGCAATACTACCGTCAAACCTCAGGTCATTCTCAATCTTCTATTATATAAATAACACCTCCTTCTAAATTCGGCTCGAAGATGTAGTTTCAGCGTGGGAAACTTTGAAATGACTTAAAAATCTATGTCCAACCCTAATTATCAAATTTAAAATTTTAAAAACGTTGTAAATCGAACAAATCTATAAATACTTGAAAATCTTGAAAATAGACGGTTCAAATAACTTGTTACAAGATGTATAATTTTTTAAAAATAATTTTTATATTTTTATATTCATACATCTCGAGATAGAGATAATCATTTGGAAGGTTTTCTAACTTTGAAATAATATTTTCTAATGGTGCACAGTAATATAAGGTTGTAAAGTTATAAAAACTTTTTCATTTATAAAATGTCAAAAGATTATATGCTCCCGTAGGTATGTTCTGCTAAGTTCGGGGGTAGAGACTTCCAACCCTATCCATCAACATTTTTTTAAAAAAAAAAAGGACAAAAAAAGAAAAGGAAAACAACATCTTTTATATACTTGAAAAAAAAAAAACCCGTTTTCGAAAATCATGTAGGTCTTTTTTAGGTCAAAACTAAGTATTAAGCAAACTCAAAAATCTATTTATTTTATTTTTAAATATCATTTTATTATTCAAAGGTGGATTCCAAAATTGTAGATTTAAAAAATACTTTTGGAGGGCTTTTACATCTAGGAGTAAGTCTACGATGTTGTGCTCCTATAGATACAAATTCAACATTTCATTTGGTGGTCCTGGGGAGCCAAATTGTCCATTTTCTCCCTCCAGCAAAACACCAATTTGTGGGGCTTAAAATTTTTCAAGGATGAGTTTTCGTTGTGTGAATTGGTGCGCCCATTTAAACGGGGTCTTCTTTAAAAATCCATATTGGCTTTCGATTTTGAACTTTAAATTTTTTTTATATTGAAAATTTCAACCATCACAATTATGAATTTAAAAAAATAAAAAAATTGAATTGACACTTAAAACAATTATTTTAAAATTATTTTTAGACTGTTCATTTTAATTCTTCTCATATCGCCTGATATATACTATTTTTTAAGCTATATAATTATTATCTAAAGTCCTTGTTCTTAGAAACGATTATGATGCATAGTAGACAACTTTTTACATTGCTTTTGATTTCCAAAAAAAAAAATGTTATGATGCATCTTTTTTTTTCTCCGAAAATGGAAGACCGTGAACGAAACATAGAGGGTTGGAATGGTCATCTAGGAAGAAAACAAAAAACAACCAAGTAAAAGTGAGGCTGGTGAGAATTAGCCCAAGGCAGGGATGATTAGGCTAAGAGGGTGCCAGGCTTCCATTGTCAATAAGTTACAATTAAGCATTCACCAAAAAAAGAAAAAAAAGTAGTCAATGTCCTAAATCTTACGAACCATTTATGTACTTGTTGCATTTTCTTAAAAAATGGAGGATCATGCACAATCTAGAGAAGATTGGAGATGGTAATATAGGGTTAGAAATGATGATATAGAATTAAAAAGTGATGAACAAGTGAGGTTTTTTTTGTACCAATCTTAAACTTTCAAAATAAATAAATAATTCTTTATAGTGTGATGGTCCATATAAGTTTTATGGTCCTTTGGAACCATCACCACTTTTGTTGACTTTTGTTGACTTTAGTTGACGTGAATATCGTCGCACCTCATGTATGAGGGGAAGCTTAATAAATAATATAATAGTGTGTTTTAAGAATTTAAATAGGAGACGTGATTGCTCTCACCCTAAAAAACTTTTGTATAAGCTCTCCCAACACAGATTTTTTTCTCTCTAGTCAAAACGCAGTGAGCTCCTCTCTTTAGCTGAATTTTTATCGGAAGCTCCCTCTCAAATATTTTAAGTAAGTGACTTCATTATCTTGAAAAATAATCCATTCTTTTTAAAAATGAAATGAAATAATTACTTCTGCTTTTTATCATAAATTTTAGGAGCGATAAATTTTATGAGCAAGCGACCTCATTATTTTGAAAAGTAATCTTTTTAATAAAATTGTGATATTTTATTTATGTTAGAAATTTTAAATGCTGTAAATTCTTAAAAATAAATTTATTTTCTTGTTTATTGTTAGAGAATTTTAGATACGTT